AAAAAAAAAAAAAAGTTGCAGCTGTTTTGTTGACATTCTGAATGCTTCTAAGTAAATACAATTTTTTTTTTATTAGTATTGTTGTCCTTTTCATAGGTCTGAAATTTTTCTTCTTGAGGGGAAGCTAGTCTTTTTGCTTTTGCCCATTTTGAATCACGTGAATTATTACAGTGTTTATCCTTTCATATAGTTAGCTAATAAAAAGCTTTTGTCTACACACCCTGCATATCATAATGGGGGTAAAGAAGTTGAGATAGTTTTCATCCATAACTAAAGATCCAAAATCTTGATCGGTTAAGAAATTTCACATAGCCCACTTATATTTACAAACTAAAGAGTAATCGATCTACTCACAGCATGGGACTATTAGAATCAAACATTTTGAAAGTCTGTCCTTGAAGGACTAATAGAAAAGTATGTTCTAACCTTTACATGAGGACTCTATTCTTTAACTCCCATTACCATGTAATGGCAGTTATATTTTGCAGTTCCCACATTAAAGAAGACCTGAGAATGTATCCCCAAAAGCGTGAGCTTAAAATACAAGACTGCCGTATTAAATTTTTTGTTGACATTAGTCTCAGTGAAGACTGAAAATGCTGGCTATACATGTGTTTTCCCGTTAAATATGGACTGCTCAGGAAACGAGACTTTCCATTAAAGTATTTTTAATTCATTGGGCCAGCTTTTGAAATAAAGATACCACATTCAGAATAGGGTATATTTTCCTATATTATGGTTTGCCCCTTTATAAATCCAAGTAGATAGGAGGAAAGAGGACACTTAAACTTTGCATCTCGGTATGAATTATTCAATTTATTTGGATGATTTTTCTTTAAAACCCAAACTCATTCATTAGTCATGTTTATCTGCTTACCAGTTTAGGGAACAATTTGGCAATTTTGTGGGTTTTGAGATTATCGTTTTCTTAAAGTGCCAGTATTTTAAAATAGCGTTCTTGTAATTTTACACGCTTTTGTGATGGAGTGCTGTTTTGTTATATAATTTTGACTTGGATTCTTTCCATTTGCATTTGTTTATGTAATTTCAGGAGGAATACTGAACATCTGAGTCCTGGATGATACTAATAAACTAATAATTGCAGAGGTTTTAAACATTAGTTAAATGGCTTTCACTTAAGAATTTTAAGATTTTATTATATATTTTTAAATCTTGTTTCTAATACCTCTTAGCAGTACCTTTTAAATAAGTATAAGCGCTGGCAAAGTTTTTCCCTTTAAAAATACTCACTTTATGCTTATAAATAGGTTAATGGGCTGATAAAAGTTTTTGTCAAACATTGCAAGTACTCTTGGTGCTATATATAAATGAGGAAAAGCTAATTTTACTTTCATAATTTAAACAAGATTTTTAAAAAGGTACATGTAAGTGAATAGGGTTCATGATAGGCTGCAATTGTGTCAACATCAGATTTTTTTGTCATGGGGAAACAAATGAATCAATCTGATTTAGATGTAAGTTTCTACTCTGTGGACATCACCATTGTCAACATTAGTTAATTCTGATCCATTTAGAATGAATTCTGGCTAAAGAAGACTTCGTAACTTTAGTAGGTACATCGTGACAAATACCATTTTTTTAAGATGTTGAGAATGGGAACAAAGTTTTTTAGGGTTAATTCTTGAACTGACCACAGATCTTAAGAAAATGGACAAAACCCACTTTAATCTGAAGACTAGTAAGTTGGTTGTCTAAAACCTCAAGTAAATGGAAGTGGGAGGCTTATAAAGTGTATAGGAACTATTTTTATGCCAAGATAGTTACAGTGCTGTGGGGTGTAAAGACTGTTGACATCAACAAAAGATAAAACAATCTATAATTAGTTGGGCCAGCTTTTTAAATGAAGATGATTTTTAAAACTAAGATGTATAAATCAGTTTTTTTTTTGTTTTTTTTTTTTGCATTTGAAAGATTGGCATATGGTGTATTGATTAACTAGAGTCAGATTTCCCAACTTTGCTGTTCAAAGGTTGAGAACTATTGCTGATAAGTTACCACAGTTCTGATGATCGTCCCATCACAGTATTATTGTTTGCTGTATTTATTAATTTTCTTAAAGTGAAATCTGAAAAATGGAAATTTGCATGTCCTGTGTACCCCAGAGGTAATGATTAAATGATAAAGATAGGAAAAGTGTCCATGTGACACAAACTGCTGTTCAACAGGCATTTCCCTTGCTATCCAAAGAATTGTAACCATTGCTCAGACACTAGGATTTGACTATGCTGAAAACCACAGGAGAGACAACAGTGGCTTTTGACTGAAAAGCATGGCCACTACCTTGCTTGACATTCCATAGTCCTTGATGAAAGTTCACATTTAGGTCTGCTTGATACAACACACCTCCTGAAAGGGTCTGATAGCTTTCAGTACCAGTCAAGACACTTCTGCATATGATGGTAAGGTATCTGCAAATTTGTACACACCGAACACAGCTTAAGTCTTTGAATTAACTTGCTAAAATGTGAGCCATTGGCTACTAATTAAGGTGTCTTATTAGGGAGTGTGGTAATATTTGAATTTATTTTTTATATTTGTGCTTTGTGTCACTTTCAAATGACCCTTGAAATGCCTTTTCAAACTAGATAAAAGCCAGAAAATGATTTGATTGGCTATCTGGCAAAAGATGGAAGGTGGTTCATTTTCTTGTCCTCTTTTAATACCAAGGCAGTTCTAACACTTGCCACAACTTGGGAAATTCCCTGAGTCTACGCCAAATTGCTTCCAGAGTAATGAGGCAAAATGTTACTCTGTTCTAGGATTGCTCTAGGATTGCACAATACGTCATGACAGAAACGCCATACGACATGGAATGACACAAACATAGTATGCCACACTCCAGAATATGTAATGCTCATCTTCCAGGGGCTTTCAGTCTAAGACAAAAATTTCTACCAGGAAGAAATGATAGATGTCTTCAGGCACATCCATTGATTTGGACCTTCTAATTGAATTTTTACTTATTTTGACATGGGGCCTTGCTATGTTGCCCAGGTTGGTCTCCAAATCTGCTCAGTTCTCGCACCTCAGTCTTCCGAGTAGTGGGGATTACAGGGACATACCACTGCTTAAATAGTTGAATTTATTGGGCATCCACTGAAAAGAAGGAAGTAGGAATAAAATCTGCAATAATAATAAACCTGTAAGTGAGCATGAGCAATGGTGGGCAAGGGTATGCCGTCTCTGGAATCCAGAAATAGAAAATCAGTGGAAAGTTAGGCACAGTGGCTCACACTTATAATCCCAGCACTTTGGGAGGCTGAGGTGGGAGGATCACTTGTGGTCAGGAGTTTGACACTAGCCCGGGCAACATAGTGAGACCTCATCTACTAAAAATAAATAATTTCGTGAATATACTATCATTTTAAAATCAGTAGAAAAGGGATTAGAGAGATCCTTATAAATTATGTACTCATTCATTTTTCTCTAGTCACACAATTCAGTCCTGTAAGTGACAGTATGGTGCTCCATGATACATATATTTTCTTTTTTCCATCTCGCTAGTATATGATCCACAATATTTTTTATCATTCCCTTACGGAGGGACATTTGGGTTGTTTCCTATTGTTTGCTATTTAACAATACTGCACTGAACATCTGTACATTTCTCTCAGGCACGTGTGGGTCTTCAGGTACCTCAGAAGTAGAACTGCTGAGTCAAAAGACATTTGCAGTTAACATTTTGGCAGATACCGATAAATTGCCCCCTTTACCCTGCAAAAGCTGTATTTATGCTGTGAAACATTTTAACAATGATTTTGCCAGGAATCAAGATTTTTACTGGTTTTCTTTGGCTCTTTGAGATAACTTCATTTTTAAAAAACGAGAAATTAAAATATTGAATGAAATACTGTCATTTGTCCAGAGCTCCCTGACCAGAATAAGAAACAGGCAGAATCAACTGAACGACTCTAAGGACAAACCACTGTTTTATTTAAACTGCTAAACTATTTCTCAAACTCCTGGCCTCAACCTATCCTCACTCCCTCCTCAGCCTTGTTGCTGAGATTACAGGCGTGAGCCACAGTGCCCAGCCTAAACTGCTAAACTGTTTCTCTAAATAAGGAATCCAATGTGCGAAAATGAGGAGGTTCTTTCCCATTTTGATATGCTTTATCCTAAATGGAAGTATGTGGTAGTTTTTCTGTTTTACTCTGGGGAGGGGTCTTTTCTACCAGAGATTGTATGTCAATCTTATAGAAGCCGCAGCCACCAGTCTTAGAAAAGCAAGTCTGGCGATAAAGTACAGCAAAAGGATAAGAAATGTGTGGCCCAGATTCTAGGTATTAGGAGACAGGTATTTGGAAAGGCAGAATGGATTCTGAGCATTTGCCTGAAATGAAATAAAGTTCACCAGTTCCTTGCTGGAGATGGTACTTGACGGTAAAGGACACACTCCAAATGTGCTTATAAACGAAACTGTATTTACATGCTTAAAGTAAAATTAAGCTTAGTTCCTTAGAATTACATAGACTCTCTCGTTAGAGGCTTTACCACATTTTGTTTCTTAGCTTTTGCTTTTTGGGTTTTTTCT